GGCGGGGGACAGTAGCCCGGTCTCGGCTCGGCTCGGCTCCCTGGGTGTTCCTCAGGCTCCAGACTAAGGCTCCTTTCATGGCTGCTTTGCCCTGCTCAGCACCCCCCTCCTTCCACTCTCTACCTGTAACACTGGCGTCCCTGTTCCTTAACCCACCCCCCCCCCTCCAGGCTGGTCGGGGGGAGGATGGCAGAGCCCGCTGCACTGAGTCAGCTTCTCGGGGGCCCGGGAATGGCTAGGGCAGGCATAGAGAGAGCCATTGTCCCTTCTCTTCACGGCGGCGGGGGGAGAGCAGAGCTGGTTCTCTTGCCGTGGGGAGAAGGAGGCGGGGGTGGTGTGTGTAAAAGCAGTTGCGCCCAACGGAGCCGGCTGGTTTTCCGAGCCTCTCGTCAAGTTGAAAGGGAGACGTGGCCCAGGAGTGTAGCAACCCGCCCCTGCGGCTTAGATCTGACTTCTGCAAAAGCAAATGGCTTTTTTTGCACCCTCTCCCCTGCTGCCGTGCACCAGGGTTGCTTCATAAGGGCAAACCTGGGAGTATATATGGGTGGCTTCAGCCCCAGGTGCCTGCACCGAGCCCTCTTCTTGCATCCTGCAGCACCCCTACAGCCTGTGATGATGCTCCTGCAGCAGGAGATATGACAGGGGTGGAGGTGTCAAACTGCCTTTTCTATGGGGAAGAGCCGGAGGGAGGATAGGAAGCATGCACAGAAACCCACCCCCAGCTGTTTGCACTTCTCCCTGGGCTGGGAATTTCTGGGTCCTTTAAGTCACAGAAGGGAGATTTCAGGGTGAAACACAGCCTCAGCTTAGGTCAGGTTGTTGGACTCTGGGGTCCTGGCTACAGCAACCAAGGATAAGAAAAGCCCCTCAGGCCTTTCCTGAGGGAACAAGAGTTTGGTGGGGAGAGCTTGTTGTTTATGAAATGGCAGGGGACTTTCTTGCCTTTAAAGGTCTAAGTTTGTAAGTTTCATGTGAAAGATACTAGAGGTCACAGCTATGTTGGGGCCAGGTGCACCTCACAGGGCCTAAATTCCTATTACTCAGTTGTTTTTTGGACGAGGGGGAATTAACATCTCTGTTCCTTTCTGTCAGAGAAGCCCAGAGCTTGCTTCTGGTGCAAGTTTATGTAGCCAGCCCCACCTGGCCCCCAAGACAATCCTGAGGCTTTTTCTACTGGAGAGACTGAGGCAGGGATGGAGGATGGACCAAGGAAACCTCCTACCCTGATGCAGGAAGCCACAGCTTGTTGTGCGAGGGGAGGATGAAGGTGGCCTTGGGTGTAGGAAGTCCTTGCCAGCTTGCTCGTTCTGTTGGTTTCCTGGTGCTCGTTCTTCATATGGCCCTTGGATATTACAGCTTTGCCTCTGTGAGGGAGGGGACAGCGGAGGGAAGAAGTCCTTCAGGGAGTGTTAAAGCTGTTTTATAGCTGGCTAGGTCACTGCCTTAGGTCTATAGCTGAAGAATATCAGCTCTACCTTATCAGATAGTGGTGGTAAAATCCTATCCAGTCTTAGGTCTATAGCTGAAGTTCCTTCCCAGCCTTGCTCTTCTTGGCTGCGTCTTGCCAAATGGGCGAGGCCTGGTAATTTCCTCTGAGCTGTGGGGAATGCCTTGGCATGCTCCTTCCCAGGGCTGCGTGGGGAGCTGGGGGAGGCTGGGGGCCTGAGCCCTCCTCGGCTCTCCTCCACTCAGCTGGTGCAGCTGGAGGGGGAAAGCTCTGCACCATTTGGTCTCAGGGGAAGGTCGCTCTGGCCACAGGCTGGAAACATGAGCTGCTATGTAGGAGTCACTTTTTAATTTCATTGACCTTTCCTTTTCCCACCCAGGAGCTATGCTAAAGTTTAACCTTAAAAGGTGAGGTGCTTGGTGCTTCTTGCATTTGGAGTAAGGACATTGTCAAAACCAGATGGTAACAACAGTGTTCAAACGTTCTCTCTGTTCCTGGAAGTCCAAGTTTCGAAGTCTACGTGTTCCTAGGGCAGAGCAAACACCCTTAACAGAAGAAAACATGAATGTTTGACATGTGCTTTTGAACTCCAGAGGGCTTTTCCCACTCCACATGCTGCCATCATTGCTGTCATGGGATCTGAGTGCTGCCTGCTGGTGGGGAGCAGGCGGGGTGGCACAGGTGTGCAGAGTGGAGCCCACAGCCTGCATTTCGTCTCTCTGCAGATTTTGCCTTCCCCTCATGCTGGCTTCCCTCCCTACCATGGCTACTGGTGAAGAGATCCCCGCTGCCCTGCAGGACTCTTGGGGGGACTTCTGGCTCTTCCGTTTCTTTATAAATGCTGCTGGCTACGCGAGTATTGTGGTGCCAGGATTCCTCCTCATCCAGTACTTCAAGAGAAGGAATTACCTGGAGACAGGTAAGGGCAGGAACTTCCCTTCCACATCCTGCCACCCTGTGAGCTCTCTGCACCCTTTTCAATGCTGCCTGGTCGTTTCCCTGACCTGCTTTGTCAGACCAAGAGTGATCTGCTCACAGAGCTGTATCCCAGAGATGTCTAGGTGCTACCCTGAAACAAATTTCTCTGAGGCCCCTGCACCAGCAGATGCAGAGGCTAGTAAGGAGGGAGGCTTCACCTCTCAAGGTAGCGCAGCTTGTGGTGTCCAAGCTGTGGTTAATTCTATCTCTGTGTTCTCCTACCCCCTTCAGGCCGAGGCATTTGCTTCCCTGTCATCAAATCATGTGTGTTTGGCTCTGAGGTGAAGTCTGTACACCAGGAGGATGGCTCCCTGCCACCCCGAGCAGAGCCCACCGAGTCTTCTACAGCCCGACAGGTCTTCAAGCTGGTCTTCTGTGCTACTGGTCTACAGGTAGGGGCCCTGTGCGTGTGTGTGTGGCTCTGGGAGCAGGAGGTGTGCAGTGGGTTTGTGGCTGTCAGTTCCTTGAAGACCAAGGATGCAGTCATGTCCTAGATCAGGGCAGGGTTAGAGGCCGGGATGCAGCCTCTCGACCAGGATAGTCCACCAGGGCTGCTGGGTCACTTCTAAGGG